TGACACCAGGAGCTCTAAAGTTGGATTTAGTATCTAACCTAAAAACAGGCTCAAGAAACAACATATCACTGCTTGGTTTTGTCCTGCCCTGCAAAAGCTGACCATTTAAACTCGTAATTTGCTTCAATAACAAAGAAGAAACCTCTCTTTGTAAGTTGTAATCGGTGTTGCCCCAATGAAGTGTGATGCCTAGCTCAGTAAGGCTTTTATCCCATGCCACACTACAAAAACTTGCAGTGTAATAGCACTAACTTCCCTCAGAGCCTTAAGCTATATCCTTAACAATGGATCTGGTAGCACTCAAAGGTACAAACTTCAACAGTGACAAAGATTAGAAATACCTGTCTTCACGATAAATCGATAAACATGTTATTTTTCACCTGCAATCACATAATAAAACTTAGTCCCTTCGCATTCTCAGCAACCCTACTGGCATATGATGGAGAAAGATTGTTGGTATACAGCAAATCTAGGCAGCTGGCTTAAGATATTAATGACAATACTACTAATATCAATGATTACCTGTATTTTACAGTGGGGTGGCAGAACAAGATATACCACTGCTTAGGATATTCTTCAATTCCCCAAGTAAAACATACCCATATTCTAATAAATAAAGCCCACTAAATTGTTCTAATAAAGCCAGCTAAAAGAAACTTGCACCACCAAGGCACCCTGCACCTTGCTCTCTGGAAAGCTGAACACTGCTCTCATTTTAGCTCCTGTATAAGGCTGCATTAAAACAAGGAATTTTAAGTGGTGCTGGAAGCTACTTCCAAGGATGAAAACAGAGGACACTTTTTTAAGACATGCCTTCGTTTCTAGTACATATTTCTGAAATTCTTGTTAATATTCAGGTGGTTATTTAGCAGCCCACTAATTGAATTAGTCTCCAGTTTTGCTCTTTAAGCTCTATTCTGTGACTGAAAATGATTAAGAGAAACAGTTCAAGCAAGTTCCAGTATAGCTACCACATAAAGAAATGCTAAAGACAGAGTGAATTGAATGCACTAATCTTTAATTAACAGCATCGGAAGAACTATAACCTAGCAGCTGGAGTACTGGACTAGCTACGAAAAGCCTTCACTCTAATCCCAGATCAGCCACTGATTTGCTATGCACCTCCCATGAGAGGGGGAAAAGAAATACCCCTCTAACCTTCTGTTTTCCTTTTTACCCTTTGTCTGCCTTACCATTTGTTTTTGCAGTAGTTGTAGCAGGCGAGATCTCTACACGTGCAAAACTCTGCAACAGCTCTGCAGCACTGGGTGAACAGCCCAACTGCTAATTGCAATTAACAGCAGTATCAACATCACCCAACCTAGCTCAAGACAGTTAAAAATCTTTGGTGTTTCTATAACACCCTCAGAAACCTTACAGATAAACCAAGATGAGGCAGCCTGTAGCAAGGGATAATAAAAGCCCACAAACTATTTCCAACAAAAACTTTATAGCCCATCTTTGAGCAATCTCCCTCACTCCCACGATTGCTATGCAATCCCCAGGCTGATGACGAATGAACCTGTTTTCTTGCTGGCTTTTTTCCAGACATCCAACTTTACATCTTGGCTAGTCTCTCCAAAATGGATATTCTCCAGTAAATGACAAGCAGGACGCAGCCAAAACAAAGCTGCTTCCATTAAACCCTATCACCTCCCTTTCAAGGAGCCTTAGATTAGCACTTATTGTTGTCTCTCCGTCATTCCTCAGATCTAAACTGTGTCAAATCTTACTGCTTTCCTTCTGCAAGGGAGGGAGCATCTCTAGAATCTGAAATTTTTTTTTCTCATCCTCACCTCTTAACTTTCTCAAGAATCCCCAGTGCTAATACTCCCTTCCTCACACAAAACACTACCACCACAGTTAAGCTCCCATTCTTCCTATTATGATACACAAACCTTTATTTCTCCAGGCAGGTTCCTGACTCAGTCAGCATTTGCAAACCAAAAAAGGCAAATATGCTCTATTTAGTGATTTTGCATAACACACACTATCCAACTGCCTCAGCTTTTATCTCCCCTTTGTCAACATGAAAGTTTGTTCTCTATTTGTTCCACACCCACCGATTTCTGAATACACATAACCACTTACTCAAACATGTGGCTGGAAAAGCACATCATCTTTGCAGCCCATTACCAGGCGGTTCTTCTACACCCCAGTAACCTCTCAAAACAATTCCCTTTCCTTCCACCAGCAGAGGCAGGAATGCAGAGCTCAGTAGAAGGGTTGAAGTTAAAGCAGAGCAGCTCCCTAGCTCTCAAAGACTATCTTAGTAGTCTGTCCACATACCAAGACAACAAAAACCTCTACTCCTCACACAACCATCTTACCCCAGGCTTGTCTCTGCATTCAAATATTTGGCTCTCTTTCCCCATGCTAGATAAAACACTCCCCAGAGGCAAAATTTCTTAGTAAGCACTCACTCCTTTGATCTCTGAAGCAGCTGGTGCACAGCTGCTCCCCATTACTTTTGCAGCTCTCGGGAACCTTTTGCATTTTCCTATCCTCTCTCACAGGCAGGCACAAAGGGCAAGACCACCACCAGCAGCCATCTTTCATTCTCAGGCAAAAACTTCTATCTCCCTCTCATGTGCCCTACCAATTCTTCCTTGAATTACTGCCCACCTGGCCCAGTCTCAGATCTTCCCTCCTCACCTGTTTGCCAAGCATGTGAGCAATACCTTCCTGTTCCTTTTCTCAGCAAGGTCTCCCCATGCTTGGGAGTCTCCTGGGGACAGTAGTCTGTCCTTACAGACAGTAGGTTAACAGAGGCTGCTGTCCCTCATCCCAGTAAAATCTTCCCTCAGGTCACAGTTTTTTGCAGGTGGTAAGAAGTCATTTCCACCCCAGAGTTTCTCTTCTGTGCAGGTACAAAGCGCAGCAAGCACAGCAAATCCCATCTCCTAAGAGGCAGGCATAGCCTTGGACCTTGCTAGGAAAGAACGGATCTGGTTAATGCAGCATCATCTCACAGAGTCTAAGAGTAGAACAACTGCAGTGACTATTAACAGCACAAATTTCTCAATGATACAGGTTTCTTTAAAGAAAACAAAGAAAAGCTAGAAACCAACTCAGCAGCTCAAATTCAGGATTCAGAGACAGTATTTTAATCCCTTCCTTAGATGGAAAAGCCATTTGAAACAACTCCCAGAAGACAACTAAGGATTGTAGGAAGCAGCATAGCCAAATGCTGCCTACACTGGGCTTTGAGAAACATTTAGTCCATTGCCTATGTAGACAGGAGGCAAAGGGAACTGTTGACCAATCTGATGAGATTTCCCTAGATAAGCATGAAAGATTAACCTTAATACTCACATGCTGAGGAGAACTGTTAAGAGCTGAAATGCCTTCTTCACAGTTTGCCTCCCAGAATTGTCTCAGCAAAGCTACTTCAGTGATTCCAAGGTGCTCTGAAACCAGGTGCCAATTAGAAAAATCACTTCACCTGGTCCTACCGCTCCAATTTCAGAGCCAAGTCCTTATAGCTGCTGCACTCCTGCTGGGACTATTAGGAAGCATATGCATAAGACTTCACTCCTTTCTCTCAATTAAGATGAGAAATGAGAACACCAATACAAGATTCTTCTTTTTGGATGTTTGGGGTTTCTTCCCCTGAAGCAGTATACATTCCACTTGTTTGTTTGCATGTTATACACATTGTCAGAGAAAAAGCTTTATGAGAATCCGACAGAAAGATGAGCACATTCACTGAAACACCTACACACTTCATGCAACTTTTCATAGATTTTTAACTCTGTATTAGAAGTTCTGCTGTAGGTATAACTTCCAGGAAAGCCCAAGCTTTTAAGAGACCTTCTGATCAAGAGGAAAAAGGAAGACACTTCTGGTTACTAGTGTCTTTTGTGAAGTTGACACATGGCATAATCCTTCAACAGACACTTTCAAACGGAGACTTTAGCCAAGAACTGAGGCATAGTAATAGTTTGCACCAATGCAAAGTAATGAAAAAATGTTTGAGCCAGCCATGTAAATAGTTACTAGTCAAGTGTCAATAACTCCCCCAGACTCATCCATTCAATTTCTGATCATGTGAGTCTGTCTGCACCTGTGACAAGGTGGCACTTCTGCTCCCAGTAACCTACTAGAAACATCTCATAGCAAGATAGTTTTGAAAAACAACTTGATTTGGAAAGGTGTTTGATATTCATCAGAGTCGTGACTGTGAAACGTGTAGCAAAACTTGAGCAGAAGGGGTTATGTTTAATGGAGGTGTATGACAAGCACCATCCAGGATGATTCTCCTCACTGAAGAGAGCTAATAAAGAGATAAAAAGAAAGCTCAACTGCTTCCCATGGTCCTTCTGCTTTTCTGTGTCACTCACCCTGACAAGAGATCTTGATGTTTCTACTACAGCTATGCCCTAACTTCTATTACCAAGCTCTTGCTTCATCAAGTGAACAACTCCCATTTTAGCACTGCATTGGTATGTACTTTAATGATACATACCCACTCCATAAAACAAAAACCAAATAACCCCTATTACTCACACCCCTAAACCACCATCCAACCTTTCATGGATTTCAACAGGAGTTAACCTGGATTCTTTATAGCTGCCTACGCTCTCAGCATTATTGCTTACTGTTAATGAAACGTGCTTCAGTTCAATTGCATTGTTTGAACGTAATCCACAGCATTCTTCCCACAAATGTGTATGCAGTACTGTGACAGTGAAATCTTAGCTCCATGAGTTGTCCCGTAAGGAAGAACCACAAGCTACTTTTAAAAGTAGAGATTTGGCAGTGGTCAGGGTGTGAGTGTGTGTGTGTAGGTCAATTAGGAAAGCAAGCAGCAGCGTTTTGCATCACTGGTAAAAATCAACTTCTTTCCGATAACCAACTGTGATCTGTGAAATCCAAAAAACAGGTCAGTAAACGTTTACTTTTGGTGTGTTTAATGAGTGCTCCTCCCACTGTCACATACCTCCTTCTCCTCACCTTTTTTCTCCTCCCCCCACCAAATTATGGAGAACACATCTGGGTTTTTTTATTCACCAGCATGCAAGTTGAAATGTCTTAAACATGAATTTGAAGGGTTTAGAGATCTTTAATGTAAAGAAAGAAAACACTAAATCCTAAAATGAGCTTTCCTCCCAAATATTTTAGCTAGCAATCTGTAAAACTAACTTTCAAATTCCAAAATTACTCCTGGGTAAGAGGAAGCCACCTGCAGTCAATTCCTGAGAACTTGAACTCTCAAACCCTTATCTTTTATTAAAGCTAGAACTGTGAAGTCTTTCAGAAGGCACTGTATGACAGTGAAGAAACAAAAATCCATTCCTTCCATTGTAGGTCATCCTTTAAGGGCTATTAATAATGGAGAAACATATACAGCCTCTTAGTACTTAACTTGTTACCTAATTATTTTTATAAAACCTATCTTATTAGGTGTCTATACAGTAACATGGAATTACAAGAAAACTGCTGTAGATGTAGCTTTATGGAGGACAGTCATCATTAGTTCCCACAGCCATCTGAAGCCAGTAGTCCAGATTTCTAAAAATGACAAAGTTGTACAAGTTCTCTCCTCCCTTGTGGAAACCATGTTCACTTTCTCTCCAGGAAACAGGGCTGTCTGCAAAGCCATGCACAGTTAAGGTCAGCCAATATGCCAGTTTTGGTTCATCAAAGTAGGAACTGCAAGGAAGAAGACAAGGTAATCAATAATTAAAATGAAATAGCATCTTCAAGTATACAATATAAAGTAAAAAAATAAAACTCAAAGACACAGGCACTTTACTGAAAATCTGTAATTAACAGTTTAAAGAAACCTACTTTACTACATAATAAATTCAAAAGAAAATATTCCATCAGAAGACATTAGGAAATGAAATAAGATTGGCTCTTGATTATTCTTACCATACTTTTAGACATGGTCAACCTGCAAGTTACAGCAATTAGAAAAAGTTCTAAATTGTAAAGTAGTTGCTCTGAATTCCCTACAACATGCATTGTCTTTCAGAAAATAGAAAATTTACTGAGAACAGCTGTTATCAGGGCAAAAAAAGACATTGGAGGAAGAAACATAGTCAGGCTATGCTTGACACAAATACTTTTACCACCAGAAAGAAAGTGGATTACAAATAATCAAGAGCAGCAGATAATGTCTGGCTGTAACTAGATGTCCTGGTTTTGGCTGGAATAAAGATAATTTTTTCCCCCATTCTTAGTAGCTAGAACAGTGCTGTGTTTTGGATTGGTGTGGGATTTGATATGAGAAGAATGTTGATAATACACTGATGTTTTTAGTTGTTACTAAGAAATCAAGGACTTTTCAACTTTCCATGTCCTGATAGTACACAGGTGCACAAGAAACTGTGAGGGATCACAGCCAGAGCAACGGACACAAACTGGCCAGTGAAATATTCCACGCCATACAACATCATGCTCGGTATATAGATGAGGGTTGATCAGGAAGCTCACTCTTGCTTCCAGGATTGTGGTTTCAGGATTCTCTCTTCTCTGTGATCACTAGCCGGGAATGAGCTGGGCATTGATCAGCAGATGGTGAGCAATCACACTGTGCATTTCTCATTTGTATGTTCTATTATTGGTAGTATTTAAATTTTTATTTAAATTACTAAATTGTTTTTGTCTCAACCTATGAGTCTCCTTATCCTTACTCTAGGGTGGGAAAAGGTAAGCAAGTGGCTGCATGGTGTTTGGTTGCTAGTCAGGTTTAAACCATGACAGTAGAGAATAAAAGCCAAGCAGATATGTGTTCCAACCCTAGCCCAGGGAGGCTTCTGCACACAACTTGAAAATTGCTCAGAGTAGCAATCAAACTGCAGATAAAGCAACAGCAATATTGTCATGAGTCAGTGCTATAATCATTAGCCACCAGCCACTTCAAGTGTCATCTCACACAGAGAGCAAGGAGCTTCCAGAATTTGCACTAATACACAATATGACACCAATCCATGATACACTAGGATCATGTAGTTTAGGTACTGAATTAGAACTACAGCTACCCCGTTCATCACTATCCAGCGTCTTATGTTACAACACCTGATTCAAAAAACTCACTCTAGTTTATCGCAATGCCTTAGTAACCTTGAAGTATCTTGTGATACTCTTTTTGGTATCATAAAGGGATTTCAATGATATTTTCCATCAGTAGATAAAAATACTAAGTCAGACATATCTGAGAGCATCTGATTTTTATAGACAGGAAGAATTTGAAAAATGTAGGAGCTCAGTAGAGTCACTGTTTCTCAGAAATTAAGATAAAAAGCAAAATCATTACTAGAATATAGGGCAGGCATTTTCAAATTCGAAGTACCCAAAATCGTTTATTGTTTTTTTTATACCGATGTTAAGTTTCCAGTTCATTTCCTAATTAAAAAAAAAAAAAAAAAAATCTTAATTTTGTGTATTTTGCTATTTACCTCCAACAATACTACTGTAAAGTAGTATTTAAAAATTATTTAGAAAATTAAAAAGAGTACAAATGTTTCAGTAATGTACTTCTGTCAACCCTTACCACAGCTGCTCCAATAACTGAATTATCTTCTCAGGAATTATGAAGCCTGTGATGGTACACAGAAAAGCTTTTTCCACTATTGTGTTGGGCTGAGGACAGCAATAGGTTGATACGAAACTAGATGATTTGTTGTCTCTGGAAAAAAAAAAACAAAACAAAACCAAAACACTAAAATAAATATACTTTAAATCTTCTACAGGAAGTTTTAGCAATCAAAACTTGTACCAAAGAAGTAGTATCTACTATGTATATCATCTAAATACTGAAGCAACTAATGGCCAATCAATTAATATACACAAGATGTCATGGTGCTGTGGGTTAACCCTGGTAAGCACCTAAGCACCACACAGCCATGGCTTACTCATTCCTCCCTTAAGTGGAGGGGGATTGGAAGGGTAAAAGTGAGAAGATGCATGGGTTAAGGGCAATTCAATAGGTAAAGCAAAAGTTGCATGTGAAAAGAAAGCAAGTTAAGGAATTCATTTACTACTTCCCAATCTACAGACAGCTGTTTAGCCATCTCCTGGAAAGCAGGGCTTCATCATGTCTGAGTTGGGAAGACAAATACTGTAACTCTGAACATCTCCCACGCTTCCTTCCCCCAGCTGCACAGCTCAGCGACAGCTAAAACAGCCCTGTGTTATCAACACCATTTTGGTTATAAATGCAAAACAGCACCACACCAGCTACTGTGAAGAAATTTAAGTATCCCAAGCAAAACCAGTACACATGGGTACCCCTAAAAACACAGATAAATTATTCAAGACTTACAACAAATGCTTAAGGGCATAACAGACTTCCCACTTAACAAAAGTGTGTCTGTCTTAATTCTTACTTAACTCTTCCTTAAAGTACATTGTGGCTTTCCATACTTAAAATGTATTTAAAGATCAAATTAATTCAAATACTTACAAGCTAACTTGACTTAAGACAGCACCTAGCCATTCGAACAGTTCTTCCGTACTGCAGGACTCATCTGGCTTTCCTTGTAGTTCATTACTTTGTAACACTGGACACTGCAAGTCCCTTAACATGCTGAACGTTATTTTTGGCTTCAGTGCCTGTATTTGGTTTTTTGAAAAGTATGACATCAATGTTGATCCCTCTGCACCTTAACAACACAACACCACAAACAGCTGTTATGAAACTACTAAACAAAAGGAGCACTGAATACATTAAACCTTTGTATATGTATATCAGAAAATGCAGCACATGAAACTGCTTACATGCTGTTATCTTTGGCAAAAGTCACAGAATTTTCAGCTTCCTCATCTTCCTGGAAATAAAAATTAGTGCAAGATCCAACAACACAGTAAATTTACAATTTAACTATCAAGCATAGATCTGTCAATAGAAAATACAAGCAGAATTAACTGGGCAAGTAATAAAATAAACTCATTAGAAAATGTTCTTGAAAAGGCACACACAGAAGGGAGCAGGAACAGGTTAACTGCTCCCCAAGACAAAGTGGTCTGCAAAGGCACCCACATTGACAGTATACCCCTGCCTATATACATGAGGCCAGAGTACATTTTGCCTTACTACTGCCCATATAAACATCCCCTTCATGCTCATGCACAGATACATGCTGCTGCAGAAGGGCAATGCACGCCTTACACTATTAGGACATCTCTAGCTCAGCATCTCTAGAAATTCCTCAGGCTTGAGTGGGAGGATATATGTGGTAGATACACAAAAATAATGCATCTGTAAGAACAGGTAAACGGAACTAAGCTCACATGAATTCAGGAAGTATTCCCTCAAAAACCACTGAGTGTCTAGAGGGATCCTAGCATCACTAGTTCACCAAGAACTGCCTCCTAGAGACAGTATGGCTTCCAGATTCATGAACAACATCCTATAGAATAAATTTCTGCAGATCTCAGGAATACTTTGCAAAAAGCTATAGTGTCATTTAAATTCTTCTGGAACATGCCTTCACAACCACAGAAAGTTTCCCTTTTCATTGTCCTAGAAGGCACACAATCAGGTTAGTGGATCTCTTAGTTCTCAGCTAAGGAGAAGAGTCCTTCTGAGAGGTCTTAACCCATCACTAAAGGCCACATACTTGATTTCCTAGGTGTGATGTCAAATTTAATTCAGGAACCATAAGGTTTTGAAGAAAAATTCTTGATTTACAGTAAATTGAGAAAGTCTAGTCATCAAGACCAGAGACTCTCCTACCCACCTGGCTAAAGTGTCTGCCACCCCAGAACATTATTCTCCCTGAATAGTGGAAAAGTGAGCAGGCGACATGTTTGAGAACAGATTTATATCAGTGACATCAAGAGGAATTCTTATGACAGTCTGGGAAACAAGGGTTGAAGAAAGAAGGGGAGATAGTAAAGAAATCAAACTGCATCACAAATCTCACTTTACTAGAAGAAGAAAAAAACACCTGTAAGAAAAAAAGTGGTAAGTCTTCAAATAAAAGTACATCTGTAACAGGTGTACTGTGAAGGACTTGTGGGAAAGGCCATGTTTCTTCAACTCTAGTAAGTGATCCAAAACAGCAGATAAAATTCTAAAAACCTAACTTAGACCAAAAACCTAACCTAAGCAAGCACATTGCAAATTAGGAGATACTAACCAACTTCCTTTTTGAAACAGTAAGATTAACTGATGTGGAATCAATTGTCATAAATTTGAAATTCCAGATAACACATTTTATTTCTATAAAGTAACAATGGGTTTCTAGGAGACCAAGAAATAATATTTTATTTATGAAAAGTCTGAAGTCCAGACTAGCACTTAAATAACACAGGAAAGGCATGTATGAACAGAAGAAATTCAAGAACAGAATAGAGTTCATTACAGAATACAATATCCAAGACTTGCTATCAAAAATTATGAACTGCCTAAACTCCATCAGCCATATTTATGTCATCAAGCACAATCACTTCAGGGAGTAGGAAAAGGAGGATTGATCCTTTTTTGCCATCCTTCAAAAAAGGCTGCCCAGTACTGAATGGCACAGTGATAAAGACAGGCAGCCACTGAATTCTTGTTAATTTAGTATTTTTGTACAGATATAATTAAGTCTGAAGTGTGCTAGAACAGATAATGTTCCTTCAGCCTTTATTTCCTGTTGGCATTTGTTACACTAACAGGTTCAAAGAATGTATAATACTGCCCTAGAATTCTTAGTCAAATATAAAAAAATTATACATTTTAAATGTCTGCTGCATATGGGAGCCTCAGCTATAGCCCTAACTTCAGGGTATCTCAAAGACTACAGTCGAGACTCCAACAGAACAATTTCTCTAGTTACAGCATAGCTTTCCATGTCAACAACAACCAGGCACATTGTCAAAGTTTTTTGGAGGCGAGTGAAATTTCAGCCAATAAACATTTAAAATTGCCATAGAAATTACAGTAATAGAAAAGAGAAGAAAAGATTGTTTTGCCTGTGTCATTAAAGACATGAGACACTCCATTTCCCTTTTTCTGTTCCTGTTGGTGCCAGAACCACTAAGTGGGAAAAATGGGTATGAAAACAAAAAAATCCTGTTTTGGGAAGTGACACAAATGTTTATAGGTTTGCAGCAGTGCTGGCCACAGCAAGAAACATGTTATCAGCAGGAAGGCTGAAAGCAGAATGTTCACAGAAGACAATGATTCTCGACAAAAAACAGCCCTCTTTTCCCTTCCAGCAGAACCTACACGATGCCTCGTCTATTAATAAAAATCTATAAAAGTTTCATTTTTGTGAGTACTAAGGAACTAAGAGTCTTTCTTGTGTTAAGAGCACAGAAAGGCATTCAGATTTAACTTCATATTCAGGAAACGACTGACCTGATCTGGTTTTTGCATACTAAAAAGTGAGGATAAGAAATGCTATTCTTCCTGAATGCCACTATACTGGCAGCAACAAACATAAGAAACACAGCGGCCCTAGAGGCATTCTGCTCTCTGCCTTGGGCCAATAAATACAAGCAAGCTGAGCCTGAAGATCCACCACCTTAGCTGGATTTATGTCACCATTTATGGTAGCAACAGTCTTCACTGTGACTCTTTACTGAGGACTATAAGGATGGGAACAGCAAGCCTTTAAACAACTTCATACAAAAAACACGGAGGGATCCTTGTTGTACAATTAGTACTTAAAAAGGGGGAGGAGAAACATGAAGGACAAAAGTGAAACATGGGACACTGCTAAAGGATCTTGCAATCAGCTTTAATTTCTCAGATCAGTTAACTCCCTCTCAGACTCGGTCTTGAAGAGCCAGGAAGGAGTGACAATGTAAAAAGCAGATAGGAAAGCACTCCCAGGGACCTCTCTAACATGCCTTTGCACTAGTGTGGTGACTCAAAGCAGAACCACACTAAAAGCTACAGAGCTATGATGAAGAAAAACATTTTTTTGTAGTACTGACTACTGTAGTTTTTGCTAATTCTATGCAAATGCTACACATCCTTTAATGCAGCCTGTTCTGAGGAAACAGAAGCAACTGAGGACTTTGGAAAATGATCCTCAGAAGAAGAGCAATACTTAAACTTCAGAAAAAAAAAAATCAATGTAATTGGAAAACAGTAGCTAAATGAACATTAGAAGAAAGGTGATTTGAGACAATACAATTTCTTAGAACAAGTTCTTACTCTGCTCCAATCTCAAGCAAGTGCTTGAGGCTAAAATGATAAAACAGCAAACTGTGTGTGTACACAGCACATGACAAATAGGGACTCTGTATGTGTCCTATAATTCAAATGAAAGCTCCCCATCTCAAGTACTACACCAAAGTAACTTAAATGTATTAATAAACACTCAAAAATGCATATTAATAATGGTTACATATATCACATTTATAAAGAAGAGGCAGAACTATCAAACAGGCAAAGTTATGCCAGAAAGCCTGGGCAACATAGAGACAAGGAAATGAAGCAACTAATGCGTCTCCTATGAATCACTGTTGTGTTCCTGAAGTGTTCTGCTATGTAGGAAGAAACACACACACACCCCCAAAAAAATACACAAAAACAAAAAACCTCACCCAAACACATTTTAATCTAACATTTCCCTTCACTAAAAGTACATTTGGACAATCACCTGAACAGAACAGTAAACTACAAATATTTGGACTTCATGTCAAGTTACATTTTAGTTTTACATTTAGTTTTTATTACCTGTATTATACCAAGCCAGTAGGAAGTCAAATTCTAAAGGTTTCTTTTCCTTCAAGGCCCAAAGCACTCTGTTATGTTTCTTGCTATCAGGGTGAAAGCCAGAATCAGTCAAGTCAATAGTTATAACTGCAAAAATGTACAGAAAAAAAATGTTACTTAATTGAAATACATTTCGGTATTAAATTCATTAAGAACTAAAAGAACAGAAAGGAAGCAAAGAACATTAAACTTCATTTTCACATATACATCATCCTTGTAAATTATTTGATTATGCAAATATGACTGCCCATTATGTAAATACTCACCTTCTGCTGTCCTTATTTTGATATAATCTGAAACTGCCTTCTAGTGACCGGGACATGCCCATTTTGTAATGGCAGTGACAGAAGTCCCAAAACAGTGCCTTAAAAATATCTTGGTAATTAGGTAAGCTATTAGTACTAAAAGAAGCTAGTTTCTAACATCAAAAGCCACATATATGGCAGTGATGATTTTTCAACTGGTTTTTTCTAGATGATTGGTCCTAGGCTAAACATTTATTTTTCAGATAGAAATTTCATCATACATTTTACTTGACAAACTGAATAGTAAATGATGTCCTATTTTGCCAAAATTCTTACTATAGATAACAAGTTTTCCCTTCTAAACTCTTTACGTAACTACCTATTAACTATTCCAGGTTCTAATACTTTTTAGATGGCATAGTGTTAATTTTTTTTTTAATTATTTACCAAAAAAAATTACAAAAGTCACACTCTGTATATCTCCTCTGCAGCGGTTAAAAAATTACAACATTTTCCAAGTACTTGGTATATGGAGATTACCATTTTAAATGGGTCAAAACGATTCTCCCTTTCAAGCATGCTGTCTTGGGTGAGGCTCTTCACTGATTTTTTTTTTTTTTTGTATAGTGTGCAGAGATTAAGCTCTACCTAAATTAGTTTACCACTTAATGATTTAAATCAGAAGGCATAGATACAGTGCACAGTATACAGAAATTCTTGAGTCCTGCATCACTCCAGTATAAACACCACAAAGAAAAACCCAGAAATTAAAAATTTTAAAGAGTACTCAAAAGATCACACATCTGCTTCCTTATAACCGCTTTATTTGAAAAAAGTAGTTTTTCCCTCTTCGTGCAGCCCTTGTATCTGCATCTGGAAAAATATGACCTAGACAAGAACCAATTTTAAAGGAAAGGGAAGTTTCACTATTGCTGATTTAACATTCCAACAAGGTGCTTCACTGACAGATCTGAAATTAGCACTGTTAATATAAATAATACTTACTATATCTCATTATTTTTTTTCCAGAATATTGAGAAGGACGACCTTGCAGTCCAAGTTCCTCATAAGTATCCTTATCCACTGATAGAATTAGTTTTCCTATAAACAAATCAAACTTTAATACAAATAATCTTCTATTTAGTTCCCCCTTTGAAGTCTTCTGAGAACCGTATACCTTATACAATGTTAGCTTTGGACCCATGGCTTTACTAACATAATCCAGACTCCTTAGTTCCAGTTAAAGGGATTATCAGATTAACCCTTGAAAAAATGTTAGAACTCAATTACTGTTTTTCATCAGAGGTCTTATGAACTAGAATGAAAGTGTAATATCATTCCAGAGACAGTCATAGCTTTTTTACTGTCCTACCTCACTTCATTGCTTCAATCTTCTCTCCACTTGTCCCCTAGTGTTTGCTGTGTCATTGGTTGAAAACTACATTACACTAGGGCCTGATTTAGTAAACAGTCATGCCCACACTGCTCAACTAAACGTACAAAAGCAATTCCTCCAACTCCAGTGGGACTACTCACATTGAGTAAACTATGCTTATTACCAATAAACTGATACGCACTGGAACAACTCCACTTCCATGTTCATAAAGCAAATTTGGCAGCTGCCACTCAGTACAGCATTTCACAAAACAGATCTCTACTACAGTTTTTTGATTCTACTGTACGAGTATAATGTAGACTACAAACAAATAAGGCTGCTGCTGAAGATTTCAGAGAGTGACATCACCAGGAACTGTTAATGCTGTCTCTGCATTAATTGTGCATAGCTTGTTATAACTGTATCATACTATCAAGTATCCATTTTGCTAGACTAAGCTAACAGCACATAAAAGAATTCCTACCCTGAAGAATCTGAATTTACACCTGACATATTACAGTCTTAGGCTAGAGGGCTGATATAATAGAAATACAAATTGGTCTATCTGATATATTGTTAAATGGAAATAAGAATACATATTTGAAGCCCAAAATAACTTAATTATTTCCTCTGCATGTAAAATCCCAAGATGGAACATTGTTATAAAACTGTGATGTAAACACAATGCAGTATTTTAACACATCACATAATTCTCAAAAGAATAAACACTGAATATTTAAAAATTGTTCCTAAGCAGTGCTGATAAAAACAGAATTTGTACCAAACCACAAAATTAAGATGAGTAAGAAACAAGAAGTTAGAAAGCAATATTTTCATTAAAAATAATCCTCTGTAACAATTGCAATTACAGTTCAAGTATTGACAATATGACACTATACATAAGTGAAGATGATATTTTTGTTATTTCCTTTAGATTAAATAATTTTAACTGCATGAATGAAAAAAAGAATTTAAAATGAATATTTTTTTGATTCAAACATATTTCTAATAAGTTGGGAAGTATGGTAAGCATTAAATTTTCCTATTTACATCATTCATAATGGAAAAAAAAAATCAAGACCATAATTTATTTGCATTACTAAAACCAAACCAAGACATACCATTTGGTAGCAGAGCTGCAGTATTATCTTGATCAATTTTTGTGTTATAGGTGAGCGCGTAGCATGAACCTTTAGTAGTAAAGCAGAAAACCATGAGATTACATAGTCTCTAAAGACAAACATGACAATATGAAAGATTCACCTCAAGATAATCAAACATGCCAAATACCATTTGAATCACTCTAAACTCTTATCTTCATCAACTTTCTTCCACCTTCTCAAAACATCATTTTGTTACTAGTTTTATAAACCTTTATGAACCTTCTAAAGGACCTGTAATACAGATAACATTAACAATATGCCCCAATATGCAAACACTTTCTTTCCACCTGTGACCTTCCCCAGCCAGCAAATGAAAACCCCCCCTTTTTTTTTTTTCCAGAAGCATTCCTATTGTTAGTTAACATGAAGACAAGGTGGAAGATGTTCACATTACTAAATATATTTTGTAGCATTATCTGCCACAACCAATTTTGTTTTTAAAAATACAGGAATCAGATCCTGTAAACTTGGTATACAAATGTTGCACTGCTTCCATAAAACTACTGACATAAAAGCAATTAATGAGACTAAAGGAAATATGAAAAAGAGTCCCACATTTAGACAGTAATGGGTCTCATTTTCCTATTTTACCCATATGTTCTCTGTTCTCCTTATTTGCCTTTGAAGCTTTTTTTTGTCCCTGACAATCACCTGAAGGACACATTTATCATGAGCTAAATGAGCGCGGCCAGCTCGATGAAAACAGCATGCTCTGAGAACGCAATAGCAAGTTGGCGGGGCAGAGGCTGCATCTTTCTTCACATCATCTTTGCTATTACTGTGCAAGGATGAGCTGCCACAGCTCCATCAGCAAAAAAAATATCCAAACGCAAATACACACCACTGCCCCACCATAAAAAAAAAAAACAAAAAAAACCCCAAACTTATTTCTTCTCTTTTTGTCTTGTCTAGTGTGGAACACAGCTAACACAGCTGTGTTGAAATATGAAGGAATTAGAAAGGGTAAAGGGAGCTGATTTATGGAGGAATCTGCATAAAAATGAGATGTAGAAGATAAACAGGTGTGACTTGACAGCTGGCTTACAGAACTAAGATGGAATAGAGAAAAATGAAGAGGGAGCAGTCACAGAAGTTTTGGACCCATTGGATATAAACAAATGCTGACACAGCAGAAAAAAAAAAATCAGGTAAAGAAATTAGTACAGAATTTTCTTAGTTTTTTTTTCCTTTAAAATGCTTTTCAGAAAAAATAATAATGAATGGATTTTACAGTATTATGAAAAACATACACTATTACTGCATCTGTTATGTTCTGATTACCTCCTTACCTTTCTTCACAAAAGCATCAATGAATTCGTGAGCAACCAATTCATGAATCGGCAAATTCCTCACCACGTAGTACTCTCCAATATCTGCAATAGTACTTTTCAGCACTTCAGGTAGTATGCCACATTCAGGGATCAAAAAAGACACCTATTAAGAACATATTTGTAATGTAAATCACATCCTAAAATCCGTTCTGGCAGAAAACCAAGAAAAAGTCTTCTTTTCGAAGTCGTCAGTATGTTACATCAAAACAAAATTAAGAAAAAATAATTACAAGCTATTGTCTCAAAAATTTATCAATTTGCAAAAAGTTTCCAAGTACAGCAAAGACAATACTTGGTTTTTGCATTTCACATGCTATATGATAGCATTTGAGGTGTTATGCAAAGGCATGATTTTACACTGCATGACTTAACTAACAATCTTTTTTCAGGTCATTATAAATTTAACTTGAAGTCGCACTGGAACATTTCCTTCAGCCCTTGCTGCAGGAAGCAGCTATAACTAAAAGTGTAGGCTAAGCATTTATGTAATCTCAGCGGAAATACAAAGACCAAAGTAGAATTTAAACTACTTTTCAAATCAACAAGTTCTCCTCTGTAGAATATTTTGGAGGTCAGGAGAGTAGAACAAAACTTGAAGATAGATTTATGATTTTCAAAAAAATCGTACGGAAGACGTACATTAAGGCTACAACTGCTGTAGCAGGTTTCTAATTTAAGGGAGGAAACTGATTTTTAAAAGTGATGCGCACCTAGGTTTTCTTACTATACTCAGCATTCGGTCTTTTGTTCCAATTGTCTACCTTTAATTACCCTTTTGTTTAAAACCTTTCCTGTACGTGTTTCAATAGATCAAGAGAACGCTTAGGCCTGGGAGCCCAGGGCAAACGAGGTTATTACATAGGCAAACAGCAAGCTTCCCAATAACCATGCACAAGCAGCATAAAGGTTCATCCCCCTGCTCCTTCCCACTTCACCCCTTAGAAAAAAATTTCTGAAACAAAGGAGCTCACAGACAACAGGCATGTATCTCCCTTTGCACACATACACAAGGGAAGTAACAACCTAGAGGTGGGCTGCCTGCCACATAAGCAGAAAGCTTTCTAGTTAGCTGCTAAAAAAAATACTAAGGAAATAGCAAGAGGGCCTGACAGACACTTGCAACAGGCAAAGAAAGGAGAGCGAGCTGGCAAAAACTGGCCTTTGCAACATCAAGTCGTCCAAGACAGAGAAGCAGTTGTTGGTGCCTGCACGACATGATACTTGGGCAGGAGGAGGGACAACATGACAAAGAGGACTTTCAGGGCACACCTGCTGCCAGGCTTCAGCGCTGAGGGACTGAGCCTGTCCCTCACGGCTTGGAGTAGGCATCTGTGGCGCCGCTCCCTGCGTAACTTGCCAGGCAGCGCTGTCGGAACACAGCCTCCTCCCCCCACCGGGGTGCTGCCCGGCGCCGCCCAGCCAACCGGGGCTAAATTTTATCCTCCTGTTTATAGTCCCGAAAGAGGCGTGCAGGCCGCCTTTGACGAGGGCGGGAAAAACCCTCCAGGAGCACGAGCAAAGCGCCCCGGTCGGGGCGGACAGGCGGCGGCGGCAGCAC